ACATGCTTGGAAACATGAAGCTATAAAATAGAAAAAAGGCTGATATTATCATGTTTGAAGCCAAGGCTTAGATGATGCTCTCGTGCCCTTTTTGGGGGGGAGGGATGACACCCCGGGAAACTAGCATACGGTAGTGTAGTTTGAGGTTATCGTATCAAGATCCGTCCAAGCATGAAGTTACAAGTTCAAGTTCTCAGAGAAAGCGATAGACACACCCGACGGCGCGCCCGGCGGGACCCGGGAACATGAGATTCCAAAAGCTGAGTGAGCGACCGGACTTTACGTACTTCTTTTCCCCCGAACTTTTATTTCTAAAAAAAAAAATTCATCTTGCCTCTTGTTCCTTCACTTCATTCGTTCATTCGACCAGGCGAACGAACTCCATTACCTATCATCATATCTGGAGCCTGTCCCCCCCCCCTCGCCGTGCCATCACTGCAACAAGTTTCGTTCGACTGGTCAGCTCGTGGTTCTTCTGAATTGCGCCAACCAACCGTTTCACAGGTCTGGCTACCTAGCTGACTCTTGTGCGTCTTTCAGTTCCTTGCAAATCCTATAACCCCATATGCACAACCTAACTTTCTTTCTGCATCACCCAGCGCTCGTGCATTCCAAATCCGAAATCATAGCTTTGGACTCGGCTGTGACACTTGGTCCCGCCCTTGGCTCCTCCCTACCCCCTCCCCCCCTCCTCCGGTGCGCGAGTGCTTCCACCCCCCGGCCAACCCAACTATATCAAGACACGTTGTTTCGCAGACCCGTTGACGTGGTTGACGTCGCCTGCACTCATGTACGCAGCACAGCCAAACGGCGTTGATAGTGCAACGATCAATCCCGCTGCGCTCAACACAGGTATGCCACCATCACATTTCTTTAGTGTCTGCCCTGCTCTGGGGTCTTGGAATATTTCCCGAACAGTTACCCCCTTGTCGCTGGTCCCTTGCGTGTGCGCGCCTGCCCCTGCGACCGGGACTGCGTGATGGGTGTCACGGTGCGTTTGCGTTTGCGTTTGCGTTTGCGTGTGCGTGAACCATGACGGTGGTGTTGGTGCCGGACGAGGCCCGGGCAAGGGTGGATCTAGTCCATTATCAACCCGACTTTGATGCCGACCCTTTCGACGGAATCCGGACGGCAACGATATTGAATCCTTCTCATCCTCCTCCGTATCCATGTTTACTACGGCGACGGGATGGCATCGAAGCGGGGAGAGTGCCTTCATTCTACAGGTGCTCGCGGGCCCAGCGATGCGCTGCCTGGGCCTAGGCCGCCTGCTGGGTCTGCGACAATGATCAAGTCATCGCCCCGCAAACCCCGTCCGCTCGGCATCCACCAGCACCCCCTCCCCGCTCCCCAGGATTCGCGGACTGCTCGCGTCTAGGCACTTCATCCCCGTCGCGTCGTTAGATTTGCCAATCGCTCTGCAATCTCGTTTTCTCTTCTTTCATCTGAAACGCTGCCGCAATATCCTTGCATGTGAAATACTGACGTGCGTGTCCGACCAGACTTGAGCGGGCCACCACGGAATCTCAAACGGGAACGTTCTCCCGACGATTATCATTACTTAGGACCGCCAGGGTCCACTGGTGATGACGGTATGTTGTGCATTCCATCCTGATCCTGTGTATCTGTGTCGTCTGCAACTCGGTGTACCTCGTCCCTGTTACATGTTTAGTCGTGCTACGAGGTGCTGCCGTTGAACACGCTGACAACGTTTTGCGCCCTGAACAGGTGGTGATAAGCAGCCTAGAAAGCGAGGAAGACCGATGAAGTCCAGACCATCTGGGGGTGTCCCCGAGCCCGTCGGCCAGGGCCCCGTTGCGCCGTCTATCCAACAGACACTTCCACCACAGACACCACAGAGCCAAAGTGCTCCTCTCCCACTCCCGACACAAACACCCACGTATGCCCCCGCACCCGCGCCCGCCCCCGCAGCCACGCCTCTCCAGGCCTCGCCTCCCAAGACGACCCCAACCAAGACGACCCTGAAAGCCCTGCCGACCGTTCGCGACCACACAACCGACCAGCTTGGGCCTGGCGGAGATGAATATTTGCCAAGGGAGATTGACGAGGCCGGTGAAAAAAAGGTTATGCCAAATGGGCAACTCACCGGAAATCGTGAATACAGATGCCGAACCTTTCTGGTACCCAACCGAGGGGACAAGCTTTTCATGTTGGCCACCGAATGTGCCCGAGTTCTCGGCTACCGCGACTCATATCTGCTTTTTAATAAGAACAGGTCACTGTACAAGATCATAGCGAACCAAGAGGAAAAGGACGACCTTGTGAACCAGGAGATCTTGCCTTTCTCGTACAGGTCACGCCAGATTGCCATCGTCACGGCCCGCAGCATGTTCCGTCAGTTTGGTAGCAGGGTGATTACCAACGGCCGCCGCGTCAGGGACGATTACTGGGAAACAAAGGCACGGAAACAAGGCTTCACCGAGGCTGATCTGGCCGGAGAAAAAAGACCTGGGGGAACCAAGGCCAGGGAAGCAGCCGCCGAAGCCAACCAGAACTCTATGCTCGGAGGACCTCACGGGGAGATCATCTACAACACGAACCCAGGCCCGTATGGCGCCCCTCAGCCCCTCGTACAACCAGGTATGATTGGACCGCCGCCAACAACCTCGACCAGAATGCCCGTAATAACACTAGGACCAGATTACCATGATACTAGGAGCCGGGACTACTCAACTATTCTGAAGACTGGCCCGCGACAAGAGATTACTGGTCCGCCGTACCAGGATCGGACCCAGACTACGCCTCTATCCGAACTGCATGCGCAAGCTCACCATGCAGCCGAGTTCAACCGGGCCGTTAACCAGCAACGTGAGATGCGTGGTGATTACCTGCAAAACCTGTGGCGAAGGCCGCACGATCAAGCCACTGCCACGAACCTGAACCAGCCGGTCGGTTCCGAAGCATCTGCTGTTCCTACCAGCCGGCCAGCCGCATCATCTCATGCCCCTAGTTCTGGGTTACAGCAACCTGCCATCGTGCCAAACCAGAGCCCTCAAATGATGATGACGGCGGCACCGTACTCGCAGCCCCTTCATGCACAGGCTTCGGCCACTCAAGGTACAATGAGAGGTATGGCTCCAGCTCCAGCTCAGAACAGCTCGAAGCCAACAAACTCCTCGTCAGCTTCTAGCGGAAGCATGCCACAACCCGGCCAGAACTACGGTTATACCAATTCCCAAATGTGGCCCCCGACGCCCCAGACGCCGCAGCACAGCTACTCAGCCTACACTGCCCAGCCCCAACAGCCCCATTCCCAGCAGTCCCCTGCTCCCCAGTTGCGACACTCGGGTTCTGGAAGCCAGGTTCAGCCAAATAACTTGTCTTACTCGACTATGCCCAGCATGAACCAAGGCTATGGTGCTCCCTCTCAGGGGATGTACTCAAATGACCAAACTCCGCGCCAATACATGCACCAGAGCGCACCATCCCCGGCCGTTTCGCAGCCATGGACCCAACAACAGCAAACTCCTGCTACGTGGTGGACCAACCAACCACAGTAGATGAGGACGACGCTGTGACGGTGCGCATTTGGTTCGGTGTGACCAGCCATGTTGTTGATGCGGCGCCATTCATGACACTTCTGCCTCATTCCAGGAGGGAAAACGATTGCTAGAAATATCACGCCTGCCGCCCGGTCATCCTTCGATTTCCGAGTTTCAAACGTTTCAAAGATACCCCAGTATTCGACTCATTGGAGAGGCGAGCGAGCCTCTTGTTGGGCGGGCGTGCAATTGGTTTGCAGTATTCGGTTTTCCGATATCGGATCATAGAGGAGTGCATGGTGGATGGAGGGCTAGTAACATGTTTGTCGGTTCCTTTTTATTCTTTTTTTTCGGATGATACCTCTTTTGTTGGCGTGCTGGATCTGCTGGCTCTCCAGATCCCTACTCTCTTTTTTCCCAACTCGCGAAGTACTCAACGGCTGTACACATGAGCTTTTTACCGACTCGGAAACTCGGGTGATTGGCGATTCTGTGGTTATTATGGCTTTCCGTTATATGATTCCCGGCGGTTTCGTATGCTTGGGGTGCTAGGCAGGGGTTCTCAGCCCTGCAGTGCTTGGTACGAGGAGACAGGAGGAAGGAAATGTTTCTTGGTCACATACGAGTGTTATACCCTGTTTTTTTGCGGTGGCAGAATGTATTTCTTTGCGCCTGGGTCTGGCTTCGACTCTTCTTCCCTGGCTTTTTTATGACCCCTTCTTTATTCACTTTCCGAATACAAATTTTCCTTGGTTTTGTTCGGTCAGCAAGGACTTGTTTGGATAACGCACCATGTAGCGGTTTAGGGTACGCTCTTCTCAAATTGGATTATCCTTTACGGCGACGCTTCAGTTTCTATCTTGCCTCACTTCCATGTTTCCGCAACCTCGTGTTATATTTGACTATTGATGTACGAGTCTTCTTCGGCCCCTGTCCAGCTCCTAACTCTTTATGTCTTCCAGGCTGGGTGCAGATGTATGCCTGTGTTGACGGCGATATCAGCACAGGAACAACTTTCTTCTTTCTTCTGGAAGCATGAAGCCAGCCATCACGTGTTTCATTTCTTCAGGCACTTCAGCTCGTAGGTAACTTTCGCTTCTGGCACCCCAACCTCACAGGATGAGGGGGGCGACCGCCTCAATGGCTGTATTGATCTCCCTATGCTCAATCCCTGGTTTCTCCTCAAGAGTGCTATCCCCGATACTGGCCGTTAACCGCTTCGAACACTTCTTACATTAAAGTATATCAGGTAGTTGAGTATGCTTGACCCACTAGGCTCCATGAGCCCGCTGAGGATATAACAATTTGATCGGGCTCAGATTTCCATGACGGTATCTCGTCCACAAGAATCCTCCACGATATTTAACGGCAACAGTGTGTGAACATGGACGACAATGATTATGTTACTGAGAATGACCCAGTGACCATACCCGATTAGTTATTCCAAGCTCATCTCGCCGTTGGCTGTGCTATTCTTCGCCGGCCCGTATCATCACAAAACAATCGCAATAGCATTGATATCTACTTTGACCACCCGGTCTACCAATCTCAACTAGCTTCCATCCGTCATACCAACAAACCAGCTCACTATTATGATCACTTAGCGCCCATAAAAACCATCATATCACTCCACAGACACTTCCTCAAACACCTCCCTCTCACCACCCTTGTCATCACCCCCCTCCTCCTTCTTCTCCCCATCCTTCCTCCCTGCCCTGACAACAATAGCAGGCAACTCCCTAACATCCACATGCTCCTGACTCCCCAAATCCACAATCCTCACCGCCTCAATCCCCAACACCCCCTCTTTAAGCGCCAAAAACCTCAGCTCCACCACAGCGCACGCATTGGGAGCAAGGGGCCCCACGCGCGCGTCCGCAGACAAACAAACCACCTCGGTGCTGTCCACCACGCTGCTGCGCTGCATCGCGTGCACCACGTTATCGTCCAGCACGGCGTCCGCGATAAGCGGGTCGCGCTTGTTAGAGGGCGCCGCGGTGGATAAGGCGCGGTGCGTACGGACTTCGTTCCGGCGACGTTTAGGGAGGGCGTAGAGGGCTAGTTTACGCTGGGAGGCGGGAGAGCCAGAGGTGGTGGAGGTGGTGTTGGTGGTGGTGGTGGTGGACGGGGTGGTGAGGATGGTGGGGATGCCATCGCCGCCGATGCCGCTGATACCACTGATGGCGTTGGTGATGCTGATGCTGTTGCTGCGGGTGGTGATGATGCCGTTGGTGGTGGTAGTGGTGGTGTTGGCGGAGGTGGAGGTGGAAGTCGAAGAGGTGCCAGTGGCGCCTTCGGGTTTAGTGCGGTTGACGACGAACACCGTCCAGGCAAATTCCTCACCGGCGTACACGGGCCGGTCGGGCCCAACAAAGGTCACGGTGATGCCAAAGTCCGGGACGGGCGTCTCGAAGATGCGCTGCGTGGTGATGGAGGCCTCGAGCGAGGGGAGCGCGTCCGGGCGGGTGACGGAGGGCGAGACGAGCGGCATCGAGTCGACGCCGCCCGAAATAGAGAGCTGGCTAGGCTTGTGTCTGCGTTCGATCGGCTTCGTCATGGGCGTGCCGAAGCCCGGGTTGACGGGCAGTGTAAAGTCCAGTGGCGTGGTCCAGGACATGGTCAGTTTCGGGGTGCAGGGGTCGGCGCCTTTGGGCTGGACGAGGACCGCCACCTCGACTGTGATGATGAGCTCTCGAGAAGGGTGCTTGCTGATGATCTCGAGCTGACGCGGTGCGAGTCGGTAAAGGAAGGTGAGATGGTCGTGGGCGACGCAGTGCAGGGGGAGGGCCATAAGATCTTGGTTGTTGAGATCGTCAACTGTGCCGTCGGTTACGGCTAGGTCGATCTTTCGCAAGGCGGCTTCGCAGTCGAAGAAGGGGGTGAAATCCACCTCAAGGAGGGCGATTAACGCTGGACTTGGTGGGCTTGTGTTGGGCCGCGCGAAGCGTACCCGCGTGTGGACGACGGGATAGACTCGAAGTCTGAGGCTTTGCATGCCCCTGAACAGACGTAGTGGTTGTTTTGTTTGTGTGACGGGAGCGACTCTGGATACCCGGAGAGCGGAAAGACGGGGCTGAATCCCGCCTAACATTGGGTCATCGGAGAAGGACTCGAGAAGGTTGAGGCCTGCTGGTGCGCAACTTTGCATGTAGCCCTCGTCGGCCATGTCTCGAGATTTCCTGGGATCAAGGAGCTTCAAGCCGGCAGTTGCTGCAAAGACAATAGAGGGTGCTTGTAGTCTGATCCTTGGTCGTGATACGAAGACGGGCATCCTCCAGATGGCGTAAACATATAAATCCTTTCCATAATCGGCTTTGCTGTCCCCTTCCTCTTCGGCCTTCTCCTTTTCATTCTCCTCCTCCCCAGTACTCAAGATGATGGCATCGGCTGGATCTGGAACGAGTCCAGTGTAGATAATTTCTGCTGCCGGAGGACCTTCACGGTCGGATCCATGGCCGTTCACGATCTGAGCCTCTAATGTAACGACTATACGGGATAGCGAGGATCGTAGTGTGTCCTCATATTGGTGAGGGGTACGGAGTACAAGATAGACATCAGCCGTCTCATCTGCAGTCAGGGAATAAGTAAAGTGAGAAGACAGTGCGGGTACGTGATGCCAACCTCATACCGAAAAACAGCACATCTCGTTGACTGATGCCTTCTAGCAAGCTTGGTGGTGAATTTGTGTCTGCCTTAAAATTGGAAGCCGAGGGGATGATGTAACTGAAATAGGACTGTTCCAAAAATGCTTGGCCATCATCGTGGGTGTCGTCGTCGTCATTCATGTTATTAACCATTGCGTTGTGGAGATATGAGTGAGTGTCGTGGGCTCGGTTGTTTGCCTCTCCTGGGTCTTTGTGTGAGGCCAGCAGTAAGGTACTTGGCTGGCCAGTTACGGTGGACGCTGGTTATGATGATGAATTTCCGCTCCTCTGGTTTGAATACCGTGTTTCCTGCTGGTCCAATCGCGGAGTATACTAAAGATGCCCCGTCATAAATTGTGCAGTGTTCTTCCAGTACACTAGATCAGATATGTGGAAGGTACTACAGTGAAGGCATTCAGGGGTCGTACGTGGACTGAACCGGGCGCCGGTGTTAAGGTAACCGGGACCGACTGTGAGGTTGAGTAACACCGCAAGTCCACAACACAACGAACGGCAAGCGCCCGGCCGGCGTCTTCTGAACCGGGCACGGCAGTCAGTGACAGCGACAGGCCTGAAGTGCCAGGGGCGACCCTAGGCAGAGTGACAGCCTGAGCAATCCACAGCCCCACGGAAGCTGGAATGGTCTGTGCCACGCACTCCCCGGCTACCTTATGGTCTTGGCATTTGAATCGCTGGACCGCAAACTGCCAAACTGCAGTGGATCCGTGCATTTTCCCCGTCACTCTTTCGCCTGTCGCGCATTTTCTTGGGGTCCCGGCCTCTTCCAATTCGCAGCCTCGAAAGATTTCTTCAACCCCACGACCGCATCGCTTCCGGACCCCCGACCACCTATAACTAGGCGGAAATATCTACGGAAAGGAACATCTCTTTTCAGTATCGACCACATACTCAGTCACGATGAATCCGCTGCCCGGCGGGCCGTTCCCGCAGCCAGGCCTGACCTGGCAAGAACACCGTACGCCTGATGGACGTGTATACTATTACAACTCCCTGACGAGGGTTACGCAATGGACCAAGCCGGAGGAGCTGATGACTCCCGCCGAGGTATGTTAATGACGTTCACAGTCCATCGCCGAAACAGAAAGTGCTAACAAGCTCCTAGCGTGCGCTCGCCAACCAGCCCTGGAAAGAATATACAGCCGAGGGCGGCAAAAAGTACTGGTACAACACTGAAACCAAGCAAAGCTCGTGGGAGATGCCTGAAGTCTACAAGCAAGCTCTTGGTGTCGGAACCACGACACCGACCAGCGCTGCGTAAGTCCTTGGCCCATGCGCCCTCGGTCAGGCAATGCAGTAACTGACATCTTTCTCAACAGTACTCCTACCGGTCCTTTTTCGGCTCCCGGAGGTGGCCATCAAGGTGGATATGGAGGCGGTCAGTCTGACAACTACCGCCCCGACCGCGATCGCGACCGTGACTATCGTGATCGGGACCGTGATCGTGACTATCGCGATCGGGATCGGGATCGGGACCGTGACCACCGCGACCACCGCGACTACCGAGAGCCACTGGGAGAGTCGCGTCAGTTGACGTTTGGCAACAACAATTCAGCTCCAGCTTTCGTTCCTGCGACCGCCGATCCGGAATACGCGACACCAGAGGAGGCGGAGGCTGCCTTCGTCAAACTTCTGAAACGCAGTGGCGTCCAGCCCGATTGGACTTGGGAACAAACCCTCCGAGCTGTTGTCAAGGATCCTCAGTTCCGCGCTATCAAGGATCCAAAGGATCGCAAGGCCGCTTTCGAGAAGTATTGCCATGATGTCATTGTTCAGGATAAGGAGCGTGCAAAGGAGAGACTAACTAAGCTACGCGCCGATTTCGCCACGATGCTACGAAGCCACCCGGAAATCAAGCACTACACACGCTGGAAAACTGCTCGGCCCATGATCGAGGGCGAGACCATATTCCGATCTACCAATGACGACAATGAGCGACGCCAGTTGTTTGAGGACTACCGGGTTGAGCTTAGAAAGGCACACAAGGATCAACAGATCGCTTTACGCAAGAGTGCCATGGACGGGTTGATTGAGCTTCTCCCGAAACTTGACCTTGAGCCCTACACTAGGTGGTCTGAAGCTCAAGGCACTATTGAGAGCACTGCAGAGTTCCAACAGGATGAGAAGTACAAGTCCCTCAGCAAGTATGATATCCTGACCGTTTTTCAAAACCACGTCAAAGCTTTAGAACGTACCTTCAACGACTCTAGGCAAGAGGAGAAGAACAAGAAGCTTCGCAAGGAGCGCAAGAACCGCGACAATTTCTGCGCTCTTCTTGCTGAGTTGAGGAAGGATGGTAAGATCAAAGCAGGATCCAAGTGGTCCAAGGTCTACCCTCTTCTCGAACACGATGAGAGGTACTTGGCTATGGCCGGTCAGCCCGGCTCTACCCCCATGGAATTGTTCTGGGACGTCGTCGAGGAAGAAGAACGTGCCTTGAGAACCACCAGGAATGATATCCTGGATGTTATTGATGTGAGGACACTGGAAACCAAAAACCTACTTTCGGATCTCCGCTAACGAAGGATGGCAGGATAAACGGTTTGAGGTCACTCCCAAGACTACTTTCCAAGAGTTTGAAGCAATTGTGAAAGATGACCGCCGCACCGCTAACGTTGAGCGCGATATTCTTGAGCTTATTTTCGAGCGTGTAAGTGACCTACATTTACCCAATGCGGGAACGAATATCTAACTACCGAAAAACAGCTTCAAGAAAAGAAGGCCAAACGGTCAGCAGATGACGACAAGCATTCTGAACGCCAGCAGCGTCGTGCCTTGGACGATCTTCGTTCATACCTTAAGAGGTTGGAACCTCCCATCACGGTCAATGAAACTTACGAGCAGGTAGAGGGTCGCATTGCTCAGAGCAACGAGTTTAAGGCTGTTGCTTCCGACGAGGCTCGCCGCAGTGCCTTCGAAAAACACATTCGCCGCTTGAAGGAAAAGGAAGAAGAGGCCGAAAGAGACCGACTGCGTCGTCGTGATCGCGGCGACCTGTATAGGGATAGAGGTGAGCGCTCTCACCGCAGCAGCGCACGCTCCGTTCGCAGCCGCAGTCCAGAACACGATCCGTACGAGGCGGACCGCCGCAAGGCCATCGCCGAGCGGGAACGCAATTTCCGCAAGTCCAGCATGGCAGAGAGTCTGCTTTCGGACCGCAGGTCAGTAGATGGTCATCATGACTCTATTAGAGACAGAGATAGGGATCGCGATCGCGAGCGTGATCGTGATCGTCGTGACTACCGTGAACGTGATCGTGAACGGGAAAGAGACCGTGATCGTGACCGTGATCGCGAGAGAGACAGGGACAGAGACCGGGACAGAGACCGGGACCGAGACCGGGAGAGAGACCGGGAGAGGGATCGCGATCACCGAGACAGAGACCGCGACCGTGAACGTGACCGCGACCGCGACTACGATCGCCGCCCTCGCCACGACGAGCTCAACCACTATGACCGGGAACGACGCAGTCGCGATGAGGACAGGGAGAGAATCTATCGTAGGCGAGTAATGGATCGCGATGTTGATGAGCTGCCATATGGTGACGAGAGACCCAGCTCATCCCGCCGCACCCGCCCCGAAGAGGACGAACACGACCGCCATGACGGTAGGCCCCCGGCGAAGAGAGTCAAGACCGAGCCTAGCACCACCGCTACTCCTGCCGCCGGCGTTCCTGCCGCTCCCGCCACCGCTCCCGCCGTTAAGGATGAGGCTACTAGCCCCGCTCGTGATGGCGTCAAGTCGCCACAGCCCCAAAAACAGCAAGAGAAGGAGAAAACGCCGCCGCCACCCGCTGTCGTCCGTGCGGGTAGCGAAGAGGGCGAGATTGAGGAGGACTAAGTGCCTGACCGTTCAAGGCTGGCTCCAAGCCAGGATTTGTCGGGGTTACGGAAGGGTTATGTGTACCTCCGCCTGAAAGCGTTGGGAAGTCCGGATGGCTATATATGCAGTCTGAAAGTACTCTCGTACGTGTTTACCACCACCACTTCCCATCCCTAATCATCAATAGCAAAACTTCTTTTTTCTGTAATTGTCCTTTTCTTCTGTCTCTCTTTCCATCCGCCTTCGTTATGACTTCGGCCAGGTAGAAAACTATGCACATAACAAAAAAAAGTTGGATAGAACGAGCGATCGATTGGATGGTTCATGTGTTAAAAGGACGGGTGTTAACAGACATTGTCCATCATCGGTGAGTAGACTATATCCTTCTGATCCAATGTGTTGTGTCGTATAGTTGCTTAAATTTCCAAAGTCTTTGTATATGTCATCACCTACTGGTGAGTTTGGCTTCCTACTCTACTGTCGAATCGTCGACTACCTAACGGCGGATGGAAGATCACATATCATTTTGTCTTTCAGGTGAGTAGAATGGTTTCTGTACGCTCAAGTGAGACTATTCATCTTGTAGTGCATCCCAAGTAGTAGAAGCAACGATCATGGGAAGCACGGCAAACGAGAGTGAAGAAAAAAAAAAAAAAAAAAGAAAAGAAAAAAGAAGGGGAAAAAAAAAAAAAAAAAAGGAACCCCCAAAACCGTGAAAGGAACCTGGACAGAAACTACAGCCACGAAAGATCATGTAGCATCAATAGCACAAACAATGCTTAAAAACCGAGCAAGTACAGATTATTTCGCCCATCTCTCTGTCGTCTCGTTTTGATCATCCTAACTGCTCCCTGTTTCATCGTATTACACTCTATGTCCAGAGCCGTTTAGCTCCCGTGGTAGCTAAGCACTAATGTAAGTCGGTCTCGACGAACTTTGTCCAGATGAGGACGGAACACACTCATCTATATAGTCCAAGACCAGTTTCGGTTTTTTTTTTTTTTTTTTTTTTTTTTTTTTTTTTTTTTTTTTTGGGATTGATAGCTCGATATTTTTTAGGTCAACTTTCCCAGGCGTTTTCAGATCCGGTTCATGCGCACCGATCGATTCATAAATCAAGTTTGACCTGACTTGTCTTGAAATATTCCAACTCAGGTACATGGGTTCAAAGATTATTCTAGCTCGGGATCGATCTTGTCCCAAATAGCAAGAGTACCAAGCTCACAAAGAGATAAACAACTAAGCCAGCATTTGGATGGCATGGATGGCATGGCTTGGCTGGCCGCGCTACTTACGGGATCAAGATATTTTGTCTCCTTCGTTCAAGTCTTGTGATAATGTCACACTCCGTGATCGCGATCGAACTACCTAGAAAGGCTTATTCAGACGCCCCCTTCAACCATGAAATCAACTGCCTCCGTACTGCCTGCCTAAGGCGAGCTACGAGTATGAGTGTTGCAGCATGGCAGGAACTGCTCAGAGAATAGGTACCTACCCCGGCTTCAGCGCCTGGACACCGTCCGTCCGACCTGTCATCTACCGTAGAAACTCCCGCCAGATTGGCAAAAGACTATCCTATCCCTCTTTGCGCGCCTGACAGTAAGTAAGCATAGGAGGCAGGAGCAGGTAGGCAGCATACAGAAAGAATGTGCTCTGCTGGCCCAGTTTTTGAATGAATGTAGTAAGTGGTACATAGTACAGTCGAAAAGGGCCGAGTTGACAAGTCCCCGCCCGACCAGTGAGTGAGTGACATGGCCCTCCAACTTAACACACATATACACACACACACACATTTCTGTACAGGAAGCCGGACGTGAGCCTTACAGGACTGTGCTTATTCTGCTCATGCTCAGATAACTTGGTTTTCTGGCTGGCAGTAGAGGTTTGCCAACTTGGCGAGTTGCTACGGTAGGTACAATACTTATGTGGTGACGGCAGTGTAAAGGACGTGTCAGATTATTGAGATTTTCTCCAATTTGCATCATCGAACCGCCGCTATAAGTCATGCGGGTTGGGTAGCATGTGCTACTGTCATGAAGGAGGGTTGCGGCTTGGGAAAGCGTGAACAAGACCAAGGGGTAAGATCAATCTGTCTTTGGGCTCAGCGATGAGGATAACTCAAGTTCAATCAAATAAGGGTTTGAAGTTGATTGAGTGGGTCAAGTAAGGGGGGCGAGTTGATTGATTGCTTGATTAATCAAGTAATTGAAGTCGTAAAATCGTGATTTTTAGCGCTTTTGAACCGTAATCCCTTGATTCTTAATATCTACGGTCTCGCCAGACCTCCCTCCCCCCCCTCCAGACTCCCTGTGCCTCCATTTATAACCTCGCCGTCGTCAATTATCCATATCCTCCCTATCAAACTCAGCAAATAGCTAGAACTTTATAGTCTCGATAATATTAATAGAGTCAGCTACTAAGCAGTGCCTCTGACTTGATAAGGTTAATTTGGCACTACTGAAAGAGCGCTTACAGTCATCTACTATGAAGGGTATAGAGTAGAAGTCAAATGCTATACGTAATAGACGGGGGTAAATACCCTTATTTGCCTTCTACCACCCTAGTATATTATTAATAACGTAAATTTTATCATTGAAGTAGCGGGATAGTTCATCCTCCTTCTTTAATTATAACGGGAGAGTATTATAAAAATTAAGGTCGATAAGCCAATCTTCATTAGCCCGCCTTACTTATTAACTACTAGTATCAATTGGCGGGTCTTTAATTAATTAATTGGCGTAATTTTCGTTATATATAATCTAGAAGTCGGCGATAATCGAATTATACTCTCGGTCGTTAAAATACCGGGCCACCCATCTACCGTAATAACTAGGGTAGAGGATATAGTAAATCCAATAAGCTAGGTACTCCTCTATTAAATCCCTATACTTTACTAATTTATTAATAACTCTATCGAATATTAAACCGATATATTCTATCCTCTCGTTAGTTATATTATTAGTATAATTAATTAGGGAATTACTATATAAGGAGGAGGACTAGGGTTGAAAGGATAATTTAATTTGTAAAGTACATATACGGCGCCGCTAAATACTAACTACTACAATATTAAACTCTAGAATATTTAGACCTTTAAAAGCATTAAATACTACCCTCCTATTAAATTGAGTACGCTTTTCTTTGAGAACCTTAATAAGGCGGTGAAGATTGGGGATTACTACTAAAAAGAGGGGTCTACACTTCTTGAACTTCTTAATAAAGTCTTCAAAGTGCCCCATTACGTCTATAATAGCGGCAAATATAGCCTAGTTATTACTATTTAACTAATCGTCTTTAAAGAACCACTTTAAGGGATTAGGATAAATAATAGTCTTACTAATATAATAATCAATATATTTATACAACCGCTAAGCGCATTATATTATACGATAGTCTAAATTCTAATAGGTCGTATTATTAAGGACTACATTAAGAACTGGAGAGAATTTCTCATTATTTATACGTATATTTAGGAGGGAGTCGAAGTCATTATTAAAATTAGGGCAATAACTAAACTATATAATCTCTTAAAACCTCGCCCGCTTTTAAAAACTTCAACAAATAAATTATACAATATTATAAAGCCTCCCAACCAGTCCCTCCTTATACTATTCCCGGATAATAACATCTTCTTAAGCGGTAAATAATTATATAAAAGGATGGTCGACCTCGGGGGTAGCGGGCCCGCTCGATTTAATAGCGGCCTTTACTCCTAAATTTAAAACGTAACCAAAGTAGTAAAGGCGGTGATAGAGTAATTTAATATCGAATTTCTCGTATACTATAGTAGGGTATAATCCTTTAAAGACGTAATAAATATAGCGGTTATTTAAATTAATATTATCGCTCTAAAACCAACCGACCTTATCCCTCTTAAACTTATATAATTTAATAACTTAAAGGATTATAGCAACTAGATTCTCGCCGCTATAATTACTATAAACCTTAAAGAGACTAAGTAAATTATTTCTAAATACTATAGATATATTTACGTAATGAACAAAGATTGAGAATATAGCAAGGCTGTTGGGAGAAGTCTAGAGATTGAAAGAGAGATGCTTCTGAAAGTAGGTATTGGCTAGCCGCGTCTTAAGGCGCTCAAAATAGTACATATACTTATTCTTAAACTACACCTTCATAGTAAAACGCGACTCTAGCAGTAGTTTATTTACTATATTGCGGTCTATTAACTTTAATAGAAATCTAAATGCCTTATTCTTAACGAAGGAGTATAGAAGCCGCACAGTAATAATTATATTTACTAATAATTCGTGGAAGGTTTTGCTAATAGGCTTAACAATAGGGGTATTTAATATAGTAAATTGCTTGGCTACCGATCTCGCCTTCTTAAACTCTAGCTAGTCCGCAGAGTCTTCGTTAAACGGCTCCCTAATAGAGTGAATTTAGTGGAGATAAAAGAGAGAGGAGTTAGTAGTGAATAGGGTATAAATTTTCTAGCAATAATTATAGTACTAGTAATTATCAAACTTATAATTACCCGATACTTTAACTAGATACGTACTATATTCGCCGATCTAGGAGGTTCGCTTGGAACGTTTAATTAGCCAACTCTCTAAAATATACTAGTCCGCGTTATTAGTTATCTTTGGTATATCGATAATACTCTTAAGCAAATTGTCCGGATAGATATCTTTTAGCAGCTGTATTTGTCGCGTAATAGGGATACGGCGCTTCCCGTTGAGAATCTCGATCGCAGCGACGTAAGTAGGCGCATTATTAAGAGAGACGGTCGGCGTAGTAGCTACAGTAGAAGAGGTATCGCGATCTTTAACGACAGGCATCGTAACAGCGGTACTAATAGCGCTAAGCAGAGGTTAGTAATAATCTACAGTAAGGGGGGGAGAGACTAATAAGTATCGCGAATAATTAAGAGTAGTTAAGTACAATAGGGGTTGAATTAACTAGTAGGGTAGAAGGTTGGCGATGTAACTTCAAAAAGCACTAAAAATGCGGGCAGCAACGCACTAGAAATACGAGCAGTCATACACTGTGAAATACTAAAAATTTCGAGATAGGGGAAGGTCTAAGCGCTGGGCAGTTAAAGTGGCCCGATGGTGGCGATCTTAAGGGGTGGAAAAGTATCAGATTTGCCAACTTTAACCCTAACCCCAGGATACTACTGGTCGGTCAATTAATATCAATCAAATTGACGACCTCTAATTGATTGGTCAACTCGACTGGGGACCTCGATTTGATTGCTTATATTTGCTTGATTGCTTGAACTTGGCTTGGCAACTTGAGTTATCCTCATCGCTGTTTGGGCTCTTGGGGGTCTTTCGTAGTTCGCGCGCCGAGACGGTACTTTGTCTGATCTAGAATCGCCTCTGCTTTTGTCGTCGCAGCGCAGTACATGAGGGACGAGGCGTTTCTCGTCCTGAAGAATGCCTGCTCGGCGGCAAGAGAAGCGTGATACCACAACCTGAGTGGATGCAGTTTATATATGTGTATATGTATAAGAACAATTGGGATATTCCCACTTAAAATTCAATGTGTATTCATCAACTAGTCAGATCGATCGCCTCCCTTGCAAACCTCCCCTTATCCCATTCTTTGTGCTTTGGTCCCCTCAAAACAACCACTTGGTTCTGAGAGTTCCGGCGGCAGTCGCCCTGCTTGACCCGTTGCCCCTCAATCTACAAAAAGTTCCAATCCAGGTTGGTGGTTTCCCCCCCGTCCGCTGTTGTAGTCAACCCTCAAGCAAGGGTTTCGCCAAAACCAGAAACACAGCGCAAACTTTCTCACAAAACATGTGACGGAGGGGTATATCTCTCTCTTTTCGTAGGACCAGGCAACAGGGAACAGACTGCCGCCGCCGGGGTTAATCATTCGGCGCATCGTCCTCAGAGGAAGAGGAAGAGACAGTTTCGAGATCAGAACCAGAACCGCCGCCGCCGCTACCGCTACCATCCCCGGCGCCGCAATGAATGGAGGAACTGCCCTTTTCTTTTTGGACGCCTAGAACGCCGGAATCCGATGCATCATCATAACAACGACGGTGGCGTTTAGTATTGTTGCCTCTGCCGCTATTTTTATTATTCTTGGGAAGAACATCATTGGAGATGCCGTCTTTAACTGCTCTTCTCCGGGTCGTCCAAGAAGAACTAGAGGGGAAAACAATCTTAGTAAGAAGTCGCAGGATAGGAAAATCTTTCCAGAATTGAAACAGAAACAAGACTTACGTAGTTGCCACTGAGCTTCTGCTCCTGGTCAAGCTGAGAGTTCAGCTTGTTGATACGAGGGCGATAGTTGGTAGGATCACGACGGAAAGTGACATCAAGGTTCTTCAAGAAGGTGTTGCAGCCAGTAAGCAAAGACTCGGGCTTGTTGGCGTGAGCGTCGATACCAGGCTTGCCATCAAAGACAATAACACGGTCGGCAAGGTAAGTGGCCATGATGAAATCGTGCTCGACGATGAAGGCAGTCTTCTTGGCGTGCATGATGAAACGCTTGATAACACGGGAGGCAATGATACGTTGCTCGGAGTCGAGATCTGGAAGACGGTTAGAAATGCATTTGAAAGGGGGGGGGGGGGGGGGGGGGGGGGGGG